CCGCTGCAGACGCTTCACATGGATGTGTGGGGCCCGGCCCCCGTCCGTGGGCAGGGTTACGAGCGCTACTTCCTGTTGGTGGTTGACGACTACTCGCGTTACACCACAGTCCTCCCCTTGCGCAGCAAGGGTGCTGTCACTGAGGTGCTGATCGACTGGATCCGCGAGGCTCGTCTCCAGCTCAGGAAGAGCTTCGGCTCTGACTTTCCTGTTCTGCGTCTGCACTCGGACAGAGGCGGAGAGTTCTCCTCTCGCCTTCTGCGAGACTACTGTCATGCACGGGGGATCCGCCAGACCTTCACGCTTCCGGACTCACCACAGCAAAATGGGATTGCTGAGCGCCGCATTGGCATGGTCATGGATGTCGCTCGTACGTCCATGATGCATGCGGCTGCCCCCCATTTTCTGTGGCCGTTTGTGGTGAGGTACGCGGCGCATTAGCTCAACCTTCACCCGCGGGTCTCTAGGCCTGCGATGTCCCCAGCCTTGCTGTGGACGGGGAAGGTTGGCGATGCCTCTGTGTTTCGTGTCTGGGGATCTCGGGCGTTTGTCCGCGACTTGACTGCGGACAAGCTGTCCCCTCGTGCTGCTCCTTGTGTCTTCCTTGGCTTCCCCACTGACGCCCCAGGGTGGCAGTTCTACCACCCCTCCTCTCGTCGTGTTCTGTCCTCCCAGGACGTCGCGTTCGACGAGTCAGTCCCCTTCTACCGTCTCTTCCCCTACCGCACCCCTTCCACCCCCCCTCCCCCGGACTTCCTTGTGCCGGTTCCCCCCCCGGTAGACCCCCTTCCCCCTCAGGTTCCTGCTCCCTCAGGTGTGTCCCAGGTAGATGCCGTTGACCCGGTCGAGGTTACTGGTGACTCTGGTGCTGCTGCGGGTGCTGAGCCTGGGGGTGCTGACTCTGGGGGTGCTGTCCGCGGGGGTGCTGAGCCTGGAGGAGCTGCTACTGGGGGCCCTGAGACTGGGGGTGCTAGTGCGGAGGGTGCGGAGCCTTGGGGTGCTGCGCCGGGGGGTGCTGTCACTGGAGGTGCTGGGTCTGGGGGTGCTGAGTCGGGAGCTGCTGAGCCTGGGGGTGCTGTGTCTGGAGCTACTGAGCCTGGGGGTGCTGCGTCTGGAGCTGCTGCGCCTGGGGTTTCTCCTGCTGCTCAGCCTCACCAGGAGCCCCTCTCTCCACAGGAGCTGCGCGAGTGGTTCGCTCGCCGCTGGAGGCGTGCTGCTGAGTCTGGGGGTGCTGCTGGAGCTGGAGCTGGAGCTTCTTCGACTGACGAGGGTGCTGGTGCTACCGGTCCCGGAGCTGCTGGGCCTACGGGTCCTCCTGGAGCTGGCGCTGCTGAGGGTGTTGGTGCTGAGACTACTGCTGTTGGTCCTGCTGCTGGAGGCGTTGGTGGCCCTGGTGCTGTCGCTGAGGGTGCTGGAGCTGTCCCTGCTGCGTCTGGAGCTACTGCGCGGCCTTGACCGTACTTCGTTCCGCTCCTGCAGCACGTTCTTGGTCTTTCTCCTCTGGTAGAGGGTCCACCGCCTGTCCAGTCGCAGTCCCTGCTGGAGCCTTCCTCTCCGCTACCTGCTCCCTCTCCTTACACTGGTCCTACTGGAGGTCTTGCTGAGCGTCGTGAGCCTGCGTCTCGTCCTGCGTCGCCTGTTCGTCCTGCTCGCGCTACTGGTCGCGGTTCTCGTCAGCGTCCTCCTCCTGTCCCTGGCACGCACCAGATGTCTTTGCGTCCGTCCACTGCTCCGCTGCGTGCCCCTTTGCCTTCTCCTCCTTCGTCCTCTCTTCCTGCGCTTGCCGACCCTGTGTCGGACTCTCTTCGTGCTGCCAGTCCTACTGTCACGCGTTTCCTTGCTACTGTCGTCACTGACCCTTCTTTCGAGTCTTCTGCTGCGTCTGCCCTAGTCACTGAGCTCGTCGACTTTGCTGCTCGCTGTCGCTTAGACTACGCTGCTAGTCTCGTTGCTGAGTCTGAGTCTGTCTGTCCTCCGTCCGTCGAGGGTGAGTGTGCTCTTGGCACGGACGTCCTAGAGGACAGGCAGGAGGAGTTACAGTGTCTAGCGGCTGCTTCACCTCATCTCGCGTCTGTACTGCTTGCCCCTGAGGGAGACCCGGATGCACTAGACATCCCGACTCCGCGTTCTTACGCGGAGGCTGTAGAGGGTCCCTACTCCTCTCAGTGGCAGGCAGCTATGGATGCAGAGATGGCTTCCTGGAAGTCCACAGGCACCTACGTTGACACGGTTCCCCCTCCTGGGGCGAACATCGTCAGTGGCATGTGGATCTTCAGGGTGAAGCGGCCGCCGGGCTCTCCGCCTGTCTTCAAGGCGCGTTACGTGGCTCGTGGCTTCAGTCAGCGGCAGGGAGTTGACTACTTTCAGACCTTCTCTCCCACTCCGAAGATGACCACTCTTCGGGTGCTGCTGCACGTTGCCGCTCAGCGCGACTACGAGCTTCACTCTCTCGACTTCAGCACTGCGTTCCTGCAGGGTAGCCTGCACGAGGAGATCTGGCTGCGCCGTCCGCCTGGCTTCACTGGGACTTTCCCTCCTGGCACCCAGTGGAGCCTCAGACGGCCAGTCTACGGTCTCCGCCAGGCACCACGTGAGTGGCACGACACACTGAGGACTACGCTTGCGGCTCTTGGGTTTGCTCCTTCTACTGCTGACCCGTCGCTGTTTCTTCGCACCGACACTTCTCTGCCGCCGTTCTACATCCTCGTGTACGTCGACGACTTGGTCTTTGCCATAGCGGACACTGCTGGACTCGCCTACGTGAAGTCCGAGCTGCTGAAGAGACACACGTGCACAGACCTGGGTGAACTGCGCAGCTACCTTGGCTTGCAGATCACTCGGGACAGAGCACGCCGCACCATTACCTTGACTCAGTCACACATGGTGCAGCAGGTCCTTCAGCGCTTCGGCTTCACGTACTCCTCGCCTCAGGCCACTCCTCTGCCTACTCGCCACTCACTCTCAGCTCTGCCTTCGGATGAGTCCGTAGAGTCGAGTGGTCCGTATGCAGAGCTTGTTGGCTGCCTCATGTACCTGATGACCTGCACACGACCTGACCTTGCATACCCTCTGAGCATTCTTGCACGCTATGTTGCTCCTGGTAGACACCGACCAGAGCACATGGCTGCAGCGAAGAAGGTATTGCGTTACCTGTGCAGTACGTCGGGCATGGGGCTAGTGCTTGGAGGGCGGAGTCCATTGGTCCTTACAGGCCACGCGGACGCTTCTTGGGCTGACGACCAGGCTACGCAGCGGTCGTCGCAGGGTTACACCTTCAGCCTTGGTTCCGGTTCTGTCTCGTGGCGGTCTACTCGCTCGTCTTCGGTTCTCGGCTCCAGCTGTGAGGCTGAGATCTACGCCGGGGCCATGGCTGCACAGGAGCTTCGCTGGCTCACCTACCTGCTGACTGACTTTGGAGAGCCGCCTCGTTCTCCTCCAGTGCTGTACGTAGACAACAAGGCCATGCTGGCCTTGTGTCGAGAGCAGCGCTTGGAGCACAGAACGAAGCACATTGCTCTCCGCTACTTCCTTGCTCGTGAGCTGCAGCAGCGTGGTCAGTTGCGACTTGCTTACGTGGCCTCTGAGGCCAACACTGCTGATGTGTTCACCAAGGCACTTGCGCCTTGTGACCATCAGCGCTTTTGTACCCAGCTGGGTCTTGTGCCTGTTTTGCCTCACTTGCTCTCTTCTTGACTTTACTTGTACTTTGACATATATATACCTGCTCTTGCTTGTCTTGCTTTATATATATATCTGTACTCTTGCATGTGAACTTGCCTTTGGCCTTGCTCTTGTGCTCGGACTGTGTGGTGACTTTGTGATCCACCCCGAGCTTGCTTTGCTTTGCTTGACTGGTCTTGTGACCTCTTGTTCTCCCCCACTTTGCCTATGGGGGTGTGTCAGAACATATAGCTTACCTGTTTGTGTAGGCTACAGTGGGGTATCCCATAGGGGGTACAACACAATTAGGTTTTCTATTTGTACTCATTCCTGACTTAGTCAATTCATTCCTGTTTACCTAACTTCACAGTAAGAGTGCTGGGAGTTGGGAGGATGTCAAAATGAAGAATGGGGTGAAGGTTTTAGTGACAAAAAGGCAAGCTTACTCACTTGAAGGGTCAAAGCGCGGGTTGAGAGGAACATCTGCATCCACAACAGACAACCAAAATGACAGAGTGGTACGGACGCAAGCAGTAGCAAAAAGCCTTGATTAAGTGTGGAAATGTTGCCATTTGGACTGTTGCTCCAGCCTGGCCCACATGTGCAACATGAAGCCTCACTTCCTACATTACCAAGATTAACTAGCCTTGACCTCAACTTTGAGGTGCTGCTACTAGTCTCAAAAGTATAGCCATACATATATGGCTTCACCACTTCACTAGATATCATGCTTAAACAATGACATTGTTCTAGTCTCTCATGCTTGTACCATCTTCTTGCCAAGTATATTTTCTTATCATTGTGCCATGAAGTTCAACGATCGATTTTCTACAGCGACCAACATTACGGAAATGGTCTAAGATGCTATGAGTTAGGGGACTTGTATCTACTTTCAAAATTGAATCCTAAGCCTTGCACATGAAACACGTGCTCGCAACAAATAGCCTTATACCTAATTGAGAGTAGTAAATGTGGTCGCAATATATAGTTGTGGGATCTTTCTATGTGCTATAACAAAAGCTCAGAACTCCTGTTGCGTACATTAGAAGGCATAGAAAGTTCGTAGGAAGTTGGTGGACCTTTTTTTTTTTACCTTATTACCCAACCAAAGCGACAAAAACGTTGCACCAGTTAGTTTAAGCGGGCCAACCAAGAGCCGAATCATGAAAGGACTGCTCTAATTGAACACGCTCGTGTTCGAGTCGAACAGCTTCCTTCTCGTCTTTCGCACCTGAGTGTTCGACCTTTTGGTGGAAAACTCCAAGAACAACTTTGTAAAAAGTGTTCATTTCGAACCAAGCATGTACGGTCCGACGAGTTTGAAAGGTGCTCAGATTTGTTCACCCTTTGCTTACCTGAGAAGCAAAAACCTGAGAGGCACACACACCTAAGGGAGAGGCACACACCTGCAGTGAAGGTCCAGTTGAGGACGGAGTGTGCTTGTGGGGCAGCGGTGGACGAGGCTGTGAAGCCGACGTAGAATGCAGCAGCTGACGCCTTGGGCTGCAGGATGGAACAGAGCGACACTCGAGCACGGAGAGTAGGAGTGAGAGGCTGCTGGCGGTCGGAGTAGAGGAAGACTTGGAGGGTGCCTCCGCTGGTGGGGTCGTAGTGGATCCAGGCGTGCTTGGTGTGGGCGTCGTTGAGGATGAGAGGGGTCGTGGCAGAGGCGAGGGACACAGGTGAGCCGCCCACGTGGTTGTCGTTGGGGTCGTTGTGCTTCACACTCAGCACCGAGTCAAACTCCACCGCCACACTCCTCTTCCCCACCCCTCCCAGCCGGTCTGGCAGCGCTGCAGTGACGACAAACGCGAGCCCATCCCCGCTTGCCTCTGCCTCCGGGTCGAGGGAGAAGGCAAGGGATACGTTGAAGGCGAACTGGTAACCGCATGTGGCCTTGGTGTTAAAGTAGGAGAAGAGGGGGAGAGGCGCGGCTGTGAAGGCCGTGCCCCAGGTGGCGTTGGCCTTAGGGGTGAGCAGCAGTGCACCGCCAGCAGAGGTCAGCGCCGAGCCACTCAGCGCCATGGGGGTGGCAGCAGAGGAGGCCAGCACGGGGTCAACTGGTAAAGGGGGGGGGGGGGGGGGGGGGGGGGGAGAAAGATTTTGATGGACATATGTGGCTTAGTGAAAAAGATAGTCGAGGGAAACACAAAAATGAAGATGGAACAACTGAGGATTTGTTCGTGTGCTTACTTACTCGTGTATGTGCACGTGTGGGGATCATTGCGGGTGGAGTAGTGCACATCGCACACACACTCGCTCAGTCCGCTGCTGTCATTCATGAAGCAGTACCCATGCCCACTGCACAGCACCTCGCCCTGCCCCAGCCCACAGAACGCAGCACAGGTCTTGTTGCTCCTCTGCTCGTGCTTTGAGCCACATAATAGGTTGGGCAGGCGGTTGTAAAAAAGCCTCAGGCTGACAGCAGAGCAGTTCTTAGGGCGTATGGGGGCGGAGGTGAAGTAGTTGTTCATTATGTCGACAGTTTTAAGTGCAGGGGAGGCTGGCATGGGCACATCTCCCGTCAATTGGTTGGAACTCAGATATCTGGGGGACAGGGGTGGACGTAGTATGGAGGGCAGGAATGGGGGCAGCATCGAATCACAATGCGTATCAAACTATATACAGGGGCAGCATTGCAATGTCCACAATGGGATAAGAGCGAACCAACCCATGAGTGAGCTTAGAGTGAGCTGCGCGTACAGAGTCCTGAGCTTGGTCATGGGAGCCACGATGTGTGCCACATGTCCAGATAGATACATAAACGACAGCTCCCTGCCGCACACACACAAGGCAATGGGAAGTTTGGCTGGTGCTAACTGTTGAGCTTAGAATTCATACATTAGTAATGAGCTTGAAGCACTTTACGCACCTCCAGGATGAGCAAGGGATGGATGGGGAGGGAATCGGGGGCAATCTCTAGAGATTGGGGGTAATTTCAAGGCAACTCCATTTGGTGGGTTGAATAATGTTTGGAGATCACATTTAGGTTTGGTTGGGATCTGGGTGTACACCCAACCAAACACAAAGGGCAAACTACACTGAACAAGGTTATAAAAGAAAGTACAAGTACAAAATACTAGATTCGGGGCTCACATTAACACGAACAGACAGGTGCATTGGGAACACAAGGAAAGAAGTCGTAAGGCATTGGCACAAGCATGAGGCTGCCTATCGTTACACATGAGCAACGGGTCGGGTGGATCCGTCCCGACCCAACTTTACTCAAAATGAGCAGCCGATCAGGTTGGCCGGCAGTAATCGGGTTGAGGAGTCGGCCAACTGACCCGACTCGGGCTCAACCCCACCTCGGGGCAATCAACCCGCACTTTCGATCGCCGGTGTGCGGATCGCCTATCCACAACCCATCGGCCGGTACTACCCAGCGCAAAAAAATATAGTCCGTGTCTAGGCTCGACCCGACCCAAACCTTACGAGCCGACAAAGATATTCGAGACGGATGCATTGATCCTGCGACCCGATTTGGCAACGGGTCGGGTTGAGTCGGGTCGACCCGACCGGGCCATTTGCTTGCTCATGTCTACCTATTGCCGTGGATAGGTAGTCATAGATCGTTAAAAAGAAAAGAAAGAAAGAAAAAAACAAGAGCGCAGCGCAAGTGTGGTTGCGGCTTCGCTTGAATCACACGTTGCACAGCTCAAGCATTTGGTTTGAACATAGACTGGATAAATATGATCAGAAATGGTTTGCCTTGTGAGTGAAACCACTAAACAGTAGCCGTGACGCCACGCTGCCCATATCATGCAACGAAATGACATGACAACATGTCACGTCCATGCATACTTGTAAGGAGAGTGTCCATGTCTCAACTAGTGACCGCTGGTACCGCTGCCCATGGACATGGCTTACAGGTAAACAAGTTTTTGAAGAGAGCTGAGAGATGAAGGCAACCAGCCATGCAGGGGCAGGTCACGCAGGGCACTGTGGGCACGACAGCAGAGATGGGTTGGGGAAGATGGAGGGGGGGAGGGGGAGGGGGGAGGAGGGGGGGGAGAGGGGGAGGGATAGGGGAAGGGGGCGATATGGCTGCGACACGACATTGACACAATTAGTTTTACACAAGACGTGAATCATCTTCCTCGTGGATCATAGCAGAACAACGAGCTCAAAAAGGAGCACTTTAGGCTTGTCAGGCATAAGTGAGGAAGGCTGAGGGAGTGCACACAATATGGCTCACAATGTCTCTGCGCTCACAGTGTCTCTGCACTCAAAGTGTCTCTGCACTCAAAGTGTCTCTGCACTCAAAGTGTCTCTGCGCTCACAGTGTCACAGGATCGAATTCTCAATCGAAACTTGTCACTAAAACTGAATACAAGGCCTATTTATACTCAGAAAGTACAAGGATAAACGAGATAAAACGAACCTTCGGGAACACACCCTTCCCGATACTACAATCACAAGTGCGCATAAGCACGCAAGTCTATTGGCACTTGGGATTACGCCCAGATTACACCGTATACACCACTGTCGGCGCTGTCGGTGCCGTATAATAGGTATGTCGGTGGGAAAAGTAGGAAATAAGAGAAATAAATAGAAGGCTCTAGAAAATAGAATAGTAGGCCGATTGAGATGAGATAAAGACCAAAATAAAGAGGAGAAAAGGGAGAATAGGATAACGGAAAAATATAATAGTGAGAAAATATTATAACGGGGACGTCCTCTCACACTTCCCCCCCTCAAAGCTGGGTGGTAGAAGTAACACCCTGCTTGACAAGGTAGTCCTGTAGAGGACGGCGGGCGTTATCCATGTCGTGTTCAGGTACTTGAGGCTGCAGTGGTCGGTGTAGACAGTCGTTTTTCTTCCTTCGAGATAACACCTCCATGCCTTAAATGCGTTGACGATGGCGAGGGCCTCTTTGTCATGGATGGGGTAATTGAGTTCTGCCCCGTGAAGTTTTTTACTGAGGTATGCAATGGGTTGTAGTCCCTTCCCTTGATCCTGCATGAGTACTGCGCCCACTGCTTGATCGCTAGCATCGGCCTCGATGACATAGTCAAGTTCAGTGTCTGGCAGGATAAGAACAGGTGCGGACGTGAGTGCGGTTTTAAGTTGTTCCACGGCTTCCTGGTGCTTCGCCTCCCATTGATATGGTGTATTCTTCTTCAACAGGTTCGTTAATGGTGCGGCAATCTTGGCGTAGTTCGGTACGAACCGGTTGTAGTAGTTGGCGAATCCAAGGAACTGTTGTAACTCCTTCACGTTCTCAGGGGTCTTCCACGTTCGCACTACTTCGATCTTCTTAGGATCCACGTGAACTCCTTGAGCGCTCACCATATGTCCAAGGAACTGGACTTTTTTCAACGCAAACTCGCTCTTGGATAGTTTCACGTAGAAGCGTTCTCGTCGAAGAATTTCAAACACCCGTCGTAGATGCTCAACATGCTGCTTCATATCTTTCGAGTAGATCAGGATATCGTCCAAATATACCACCACGCACTCGTCCAGAAGGGGCCGAAGGATGTGGTTCATTTCTGCCTGAAATGTGGCTGGTGCGTTAGTGAGTCCGAATGGCATCACGAGATACTCGTATGACCCGTACCGAGTTCGAAAAGCGGTTTTGTGGATAGAGTTGTCCGCCATACGAATTTGCCTGTATCCCGATCTGAGGTCGAGCTTGGAGAATACCGTAGCACTGCGAAGTTGATCGAGTAAGTCGTCGATCCGTGGTATTGGGTATTTATTTTTTACAGTCTGCTTGTTCAAGGCTCGGTAGTCGATGCACATTCGCAGACTTCCGTCTGGCTTCGGAGTGAAGAGAACTGGAGCTCCGTACGGCGAAGTCGAAGGTTGAATCAGCCCTTTCTCCAGGAGATACTCTATTTGTTTTTTCATATCGGCAAGCTCTGTCGGGCTCAGCCGGTATGGTGCTCGAAATGTTGGCTTGGACCCCGGCTCTTCTACGATCTCGTGTTGATGTGTCCGGTATGGCGGTAGTTGATCAGGTAAATCGTCGGGGAGAACGTCCTGGAACTCTTCAAGAATTTTCTTGACTGCTGGAGGAAGTTCCTGGGTCTGCTTCTCTCCGTTGTCTGCCTCGTTGACTATCGCCATGAATCCCGCCGTGGCCCGTTTGACGTCCTTTTCAAAGCGTGCGAGTGTCTCGACTGGAATATTTCCCGTGTCGTCCCATTTGGGAAGGCTGATTTTCCTCCCGTTGTTGTTGATGTTGGCCGTCTGGTTAACCCAGTTGATCTCGGGGTTGAACTTTTGAAGAAAGTCTCTCCCGAAGATTATGTCGAGTCCTTTGATATTTGTGACGGGGAGAGCACGCTTCCATCGAAGGGGTCCAATCTAGAGTAGCAACCGTGTTTCCCCGTAGATAAGTAGCTTACTGCCATCCACCATCGTTGCAGAGAAGCTTGAGGACTTGATGTCACTTCCGAGTCGATCGATTGCCTTTTTGTCATAGACGCTGTGCGACGCCCCGCTGTCCACGAGTGCTTGGAGGCGCTGTCCGTTGCAGATCACCTCGAGCAGGAGTGGTGAGCGTTGCTCGGAGTACCCAAAAATAGTCTCATTAATAGGATCATAGGGTATATCCCAATATTCAGTACACACCGTGGTTCCACTGCTTTCTTCAGGACAACTAGCTGGCCTGGGCTGCGTGGAGAAAGGCTCTTCTCCAACGCCAGGAGTAGAGGTAGTAACCGTACAAGTTGACCCTGAGGGGGTGGATCCGGTCGACGCCTGCGATCCACTGGATGCATCCTGGAGGGGTTTTCGGAGTTTCTGCAGCTTCTTTTGAACTCCCAGCTGCCTCTTCAGCTGCTTCAGCTCCATAGACTTCTTCCCTGGGGAGTGGAGAGTCGTCTTGGGCTGGTTCCGGGAGAGGACGTTGACGCCGTGAAAAGGTCTACTCCTTTCCACACTCCTTAATTTTTTCCCCAGCTCCGTAGGCACCGGTACCACTTCTTTAATTGTTTGCTTCCTCTGGAGTTCTTCCCGGAATTTGTTTATGGCTCCGGACCCGCGAAAATCGCCAGTCTTCATTAAAGCATCTTTGAAAGATAACTTTAATGAATTCTGTTTTTTTCCGGGGTCGAATTGGAGAGTTCCCGTCTTGGTCGAGTCTGTTTTCGCGGAGGTTTTCTTTTCCTCGGCGAATTCCTCTGACAAATTTCGGTCAAGGGGCTTGGGATTTCGCCCTTGATTCTCCAAATCTCGCGCCCAATGCTGTCCTTCAATTTCGATTCGGTCCAGATTGCGCTGACGCTTTCGGATCTGTTTTTTCTCGCCAGCACGATCCGCAATCACTGGCGAGATCAGTTTTTTGACTTTTTGTCTTTAGTTTCGCCACTCCCACGAGCTCCGAATGCCGCACGTGCTGATTTCATGTGAAAACAGTCGACAATGCGATGTCCGTTTCCACCGCAAAATTCGCAAAGTGTTTTGTTTTTTGGAGGACGTGAACTCGCGTCGAATTTGTCGACTTCCATGGGGTCGGCGAACGTGGTTGAAGCCAAGCGATCCCCTTGTCGTGATCCGACG